GCATATCGTGTAGAGACTGCCGACAAAACGAGCGTATGATTTAATCACGGTTTTTATACTTCTCCTCTCTTTGTAGTTCGCCAGTAGCGCAGCTCAAAGCGCTGATTGAGTAAGAAGCTAGGCAGATCCGGGCGAATTCCGGTTGACACTTTTGGGGGGGGGGGGGGGTCGGCAGGCTCTTGAAACGGTGAATGTATCGACGCAATTTTGGCATGCCTGCATATTCACTCGAGCGCTATGGCGAGTAGCAGGTTTGTCCACTGATAAAGGCTCAGAAACGCATTGAACGTGCTAAAAACTAGCAATTACATGCTTTCGCAGGCTCGGGCCCGCGCGCTCCCAATGCAGATGTTCTCGAGATTTTTAGTACCATGGGACAACAGCGCTGCCGCTACTGTCACCCACCGGAGAATCAGCCGAGATGCGGCGCGGGCACCTCGTTAGAGGTGTGCGCCGAGGCGATTTCGACCGGCGGCGGCGTGGGGGTCGTTCAGAGTCGGCGGCGGAGGTGTTGTCGGCGCACGCCGGTTTTTTCATCGGCGGCGGCGCGCGGCCAATTTTCGTCGGCGGCGGCGGCGCCGGTGGCGCAGAAACCGAAACTGAAAATTCAAAAGGCTCTTCTGCCACAGGTTACTGAATTCGTTGAAATTCAGGAATTTTATTTCAAATAGCATAAATGACACTACACAGATGTGTCGACATCCCGATGAATGCAAAGCGTTTTGTAAAATAGTTTTTATTTCGCTTTCATGAAAAAATAACGCGTATTTCAATCTATGTCCACGTTCTACGGTAAATGTGCAGCACTTTGCTTTTTTTTTTATTCAAGATGCATCAGTTTGTTCTTGTTGTTGCCAACGTCATATTTCATGAAACCTTCTTTCATTGAACAATGAGCAAGCAGTGACGCACGTCACTCATTTCGCTTTTTCCGGATCTGATCGTATTTTTACATTGTACACTGCACAAAAGAAGAAGCACCTCTGCTTCGAGTTTTCTTATTACGATTGCATGAAACCGCTTTTATGAGTATCTGTCATGCTTTGAATGTAACTTTCCTTCAAACGAATCAAAATACCTACTTTTCACAATGTGAGAATCTTTTATGCAGTGTATAGGATGCGGAAGGAAACAAATATGCGCATTTATTCAACTAGTTCTCAGCACGGTGTTCAATGAATGAAGTGTAGACATGGGCGTGGGCGAGGCGGGTGGTGCGACACGGACACTTGAACCCTTCAAGCTCCACCAGCACTTGCTACCCACTCTAGCAACACCAACACGACCCACTCCCTCAGTCGTGATGCAAGTTGAAAGAAGAGTTTGCATCCCCCAAAAACAAAAACCTGTCGATGGTCATATGTGCAGATGAGAGCAAATGCAATATTTGCTCAGATACACAGCCCATACTGGTCACGAGCTGGGCGTCCGTTGACCACGCCTGCAGAGAACGTTGCCTACCCGACCCTGTGGTGTTTGGTCATGGGAGGGGGACACCCCTTGCAAGTGGTCCCCATTAAAATTTCCCTTAAAAAACGTCACAAATAAGAATGCTTGATAAGTATGTATAAAACATTAAACTCTTTAATGCTTTTTTGTAGTGTGTACACGTGCTCAATACCCATTAGGTGTGTGAGACAATTGAAATCGCAACTGCCACTCTCGACTGGTTCCGGAAAAGACTCAATAGAAGAATGCAAGTACGAGTGCTGGGAACCTATGTTCGTTTGTCAATTTGAATTCTAGGTATGATTTTATTTCTTATATAAACAAAAATAAAACCTGCAAAATATTAAAACAAAATGGCTGCTATTGCAAGATGTGTGTCCCCCTTCGTGATTTTTCTAGACTTACATCTTTGCAAGGCACATCTGGTGTCACAAACTTGCAAGTGTTCCCCCTTTTCCCCACGACATCTCCCGATCCCCCCTCCCCTCTCTAATAAAAAGGCACCAATGTAGGCCTCCGTAGGCCTCCGTGATTGCCTACTGGCGCGCGGCGGGCCATTCTGGTGGCTAGGTCTAACAGTGGCGATTTCGACTTGCTTTATTGGAGGTGCTAAAGGATCAAGGAAAGGCCAATATTTGTAAATTTCTTGAGAGTTCTGTGATAGTTTCTTCATGAATACCGTGGATTATTGGACCTCACTTTGTGTATAATGCTCCAATGAAAAAAAAAATGGTTTCATTCTGTGTCACTGCAGAGTCAGAAGCCATCACATGTGCAGGCATCATTAAGCTTCTATATGACATTGCTAAGGTTCAGTACATTTGTAAAAATAATTCTCGTTAATTGAACATTTTGAGTATAATCCTTGCTTGGGTTAGTATGTGTGAAACATAAATTTGAGATTTAAAATTATCATTGTGGGTTTCTGCAGCAAATACACATTGATTAAAACTGATGACTCCGGAGCTACGGCAGAGGTAACATTTGTTCAGTTTTTTTTTTGGGTTACGGTAACGGTAATGCGTTACCTTTTTATTCATCTATATAACGTGGAGCCGTGAAACGTTCCCCTTTTTCTTATTTGAGTAACTAGTGAGGTATTAAGTTACTATTTACTGTAACGGATACATCACTAAATAGACTTACAGGAGTGATGTCGGCCCACACCGTCAGTTGTTGCGGTTTATAGGCTGGCTGTAAACATCACATCGATATATTCCTTTCACCCAGCACGTGATAGGGAAGGGTCGCTCGACCATTGAGGATATTGACCTTTGAGAAATACACAACAGCTTCTTTATGATATGCATATCATCCCACCGAAGCGTGCTCTTCGTTTCGTTAATATTTACTGTCAACGTGAGTGCTGTCGTTACGCCGTATGTTTTAGGTATAAACTTAGCCTATACTCGAAATACCCAAAGACGTCGATCCACCTAGCAACGCGTGGCTACCCGCTGACGGTTCTGTATGAAAATGGCATCCACAGTGGAGCCTGTCGCATCTGCTGAAATTTTATCGAACACTATTATACTGCCACTTCGCTTGTATTTTTATGTCACTGTCTTGCGCAAAGACACCACCATTGTGGTTCAGTAGCTAAGGAACTCGGCTGCTGACCCGCAGGTCGCGCGATCGAATCCCGCCTTTGGCGGCTGCATTTTCGATAGAGGCGAAAATGCCGTAGGCCCATGTGTTCAGATTTGGGTGCATGTTAAAGAACCCCAGGTTGTCATAATTTCTCGAGTCCTCCACTTCGGCATTTCTCATAATCATATGGTGGTTTTGAAACGTTAAACACCTTATATTAATCCATTGCCTTGTGCGAAGCACGCTTGGCAGTTTGCGAAAATTCTAGATTATTTTAAAATCTTCTGATAAGCTTGAGACACCTGCAATATGAATGATGTTCGATGCCACGGGTATATATGGCGACGTACCTTCGCGCAGATCATATTACCGACGACCAACGCTCTGATCACCGCTATCTGCGTAAAGCGTGAATTTCTAGTACTTTGTACTTTTTTCACGAAATAAAAAGTGTCGTCTTGAGCTACCCAAGTACCATATTTTTTGCCATCGCAACCACGTGGCAATAAGGTAAGTAAGATGAGAACGGTGAAATGATCGATACAAAACAGTGAGATGGGGCGTAAGTGCACGCCCAAGTTTGATTTGAGATGGGTATACCACAAGCTATTTTCTTCTATAGAACCAATATGATGCGGATTTGTTAAATTACTGTGAAGTTGAATGTCAAGAAAGGAAGAACACGAACTTGGAAAAAGACAGTGGAGACGAAAAGTGATAGGTATTCACGTAAAGCTTGAGCGGTCATTCCACTATCTCAGGTGTATTCGAAAAATGTCGCGCTGATTAACTCTATTGAAAGCAGTCTATTGCGAAAATGTTTTGCACAGAAAAATATTTTTATATGTGACCGAAATTCCGGCTATAGGATGGGCCCTATATCGAGTCCTAAAATAAAAGCACATTTACTGAGTGAGTCTATGTGGGCTCCATTTATTTTGCCGACCTATTGTTCCGAATATTTAAAACCTCCCACGATAGCGTGCCGTGTTGTATTGACGTTCCGGGTTGTAAAGCCGAAAATTTTATTTTTCCAATTATAAGACTGTTACTATCTCCCCCCTCCCCGGAACTCGTTCTAGGGTTGTTCCTTTGATAAAAACCAGTCATATATCTTTAACAAATGCTTGGATATGAACTATTCATAACTCTCATTTAAGGATGTGGAAATGAAATGACCATCATTAAATGACTGATGAGGTGAAATATTAATATTAAAAGCACAGTAAACGTGACTAAAAAGCTAATTCTACAAAAACAATGTAACCTGAACTAATGAAGTCACCACACATCTAAAACCTCCTGCAATGTATATTGCATACCTGCAAGATGCAGTTATTCAAGCGCTTTTTGCACTGAAATTTGGTCACGGAGTTGATTCCGTTCACGGTGGTGCTATTTTTAATTTTAACGGTTGAATATCTAACGAAGCATTAGGAAATTCTTTGCATGAAACAAGTTTTTTTTTTTTGCTGCAATGTAATTGAGCATTGTATACATTGTGATGACACGAAGTTTAATGCAGGTTATGTGTTTATAGAGTACACCATTTGGTGACTGTGGTAAAATACAAACAGCAATTTATGTTAATTCATGCTACAAAACTCACGTGACCTGCTCCCAGAGAACAGAAGAATGCATAAGGAAGTGCGTTACTAATGAACGGAAGAATTAAATAATTCCCGGTCTTTAATGTTGTTTCTGTAGTCCAATCTACAAACGTTCGCATTAAACGAGCATGACGGTACGAAGGCATGGAATTGGGTTCTGCAGCATGTTGTGACGCATGTGGCACTGCAGGTCACATTTATTACGTGACATCGGAATCCACGCTGAGCTTGATTTATGATTATGTACCTAATCAACGGAGTATGAGTGCTAAGCTCCGGTTTCATTATTTATGTAGCTTCAAGGACGAGAAAGCAGCACGATTCGCGAGCAATCGAGCACCCATTCTGTATTTCTATTGCGTTGAACTGTTTGTGCCATCAGATGCCACTTCAGTTTTTTCTTGAATAATTGTGGCGATTGGGAAAGCTGTGAGTGCCAAACAGACGTTAACAAGAACGAGAGAGACAGGACAGATGCTTGTGAACGTCATGTGGAAGCATTAGTTTGCGCTCAAAATTTCCCGATAGCTATGCGCCATCTGGCTGAATTTGAAGTTTTGTTAAAATGTAGCAATGGCACAGACTTTGGGCTTTTGTCATGTCATTTGCTACCAGTTAAACAGCGGCGGCGTATTTTAAGGTACCATGAAAAATGTCGTGGTCATATTTCAAGAAGGAAGGAGGCAGAAACGCACCGTTCATGTCGTACGTGATCCTTTATCACTCGCGGAAATAAATTTATTGGTCGAAGAATTCTGTTACCTCTCGGCAATTAGAGAGGCTTTTAATTCTCGTGTCTCTTTATAAGATATTGCTGCCATCTTTTCCCAACAGGCTTGCAGTTCTGTTGTACTGACACAACATAGCAATGACCGTGTTTCTGTAGATTTTTTTTTCGTTCCCATTTAGACACTTTTCCATTCATAGACATCTTTGAAGCGCGTAAGAACTTCCCGTCGCCCCTTACACGTCGTTGCATTCGTCCAGTCCACTTTGCAAAAGGCTTGATGGCAAAGTTGTTTCCACGCTCAGGTTTCTCGTACCGAAGCTTTCGCGCTCTTTGTGCACTTCAAGGTATGCAGAAAGACTACAAAACAACGCAACGAGCTCTACACCGCGCCGTTGGACTGGTATGGGGCAAACTTGTTGCGAGTGGTCTCGCAGTGTTCTGCCATTGCACTCCGTTCGCTGTTCCCAGAGCTCAAGTTTGGTCGGCATGCGGCGTCGTTGCGGCGCCATTGGTGTCGTGTTTCCCGTGTCTTTTCTTATACACAGTGTTCTGTGAATAAATGCCTCTGTGTAGCCGCTGGTGCCGAGGTCACGGATTACGTTTTTCCTTCCTTCCGCAGCTGTGGTGACAATCAGTGGTTGAATTATCGGTTGTTTATTTATTTTAGTTTTCTCGTTTAGCTAGTTTTATGTATTCTTGCCCAAGAAAGGTGATCCAGAATTTTTTTTTTCTCGTGGGAAGGACCATAGCTATCTGCGTACATGGTTGCAGCTCCACATTTCCAAGTTGTACGTCTAGGACTGCCCTGCCTACGGCCCCTATTCTCTTTCTGCTCTAGCAGCCATGACCGTCAAATTCTTCCAAACCTTCTCCTCCTACCTACTTCTAAACTATTTTCTCCACTGTCCCCTTTCCCTTCAAGGGACTTAGCCGTGGTCTCCAAGGAAAGATAGTGTCTTTTTCTTTTTCTTCAACCACACATTCATTCATTCAGGGGAAGCTTGCATGCAGTAACTGCTTTGGAAAGCAGGTAAGGTTCGCGGAACGTCACCTCACCTACCCTGATTTGTTCCGGGTCAACGCTCTCGAGGTGCGCCAAAAGAGGTGACAACACGAAAGTCATACTTCGAATTCTTTAAGGCTGTTGGCTCCCCTTGTCAAAAACTCTTTGGACACGCCTGACTGAATGACGTCTAGGAAGAGCTGTTGGAAATCCAGGCTGCTTGGTTTGTTCGATGTGCCACGAGACACACTGAATAATTAGCCGAGAGGTTGGGATCCGTCGTCAGGTATGTTTCCCACACTCTGTGGTGCTTTCAAGTCTTCCACTCCCCCAGGCTCTAGCCTGCCTAGCACTGCAGGCCCTATTCTGCACGTGCGATGCAACGTTATTGCACTGTGCTGTGTTGTGCGTCTTATTGCATTATGACCTACGTTGTGTTTCTCTCTCGCCGTGTGACGAACTGAACATGCATCCTTTCTATTTCCTGGGTAGAAAAGAAGGCAGTGTTTGACTTTCTCTCTCTTTCTCCTTCTCGTTTTTTTTTAACTTTATTCGCTGCGCCGTGCTCCCTGCTGGGCTGCAGAAATTAGGCGCCTTCTTCTAACCACTACCCCCCCCCCCCCATTTTGTGGGACGGAGATGAAGACGACAATTTCTTTGGACTGCCCTGGACTGAATGGACATGCAGGCTGTCCATTTACAGTGATCTGCAACGCGGCTTTCCTATAAGGTTTATTTTTCAACCAAAAACTCTCGTTCACAGACTGCTTTTCTCCCTCGTTTTGCCTTTACCTTTTCGAATTCCAGCTAATGCACGCGAGCACGCGAGTACAACAAAATGTCACCTCTCCAAATTCCAGCAAAGGCACGCGAACACAACAAGATCTCAAAAAGGTGAATGGCAAAAACAAAATGAGCGAGAAAAGCAGTCTGTGAACGAGAGTTTATGGTTGGAAAACTAACCTTACAGAAAAGCTGCCTTGCAGATTATTGCAAACTGTCTATTGTTTTCTCCTGCAGAGAATTTTAGGAAGACCACGGCTTAAAACGCGAGCACCGGGACGCTCTGAACCAGCTCTCAGAAGCTCTCATCAAGCTTTTATGATGCTACCTTTAGTGTGTAAATAGTGAACATAAACGTTGCTCTTATCAGCCCCGGCTACTCTGCTTGACTACTACCTCAGACTTGGCTAGCTCCTTCGAACACATCACGAGCAAGCAAAAGGGCACGGAGTTGTAAAGATGAAAATGTGCAACATCACATCGCTTTTATTACGTGACATATTCGTTCTCCGCTGCATTCGCCCACTCGTGTCCGCCGATAACTTTCCAGTTTTATAGCGACGACACACCGTTGATTGCGGTCACGTCATTGAATATCATTTAAACAGCGGTTGCATTATTTATTTGCAAATTACTTCTTCATAAAGTATGGTGAAGTAATTTATTATTTGGCCACCTGAGGAGCTTTCTAACTTGACTTATTTTTTTATCAAGACTTGAATATAATGTTAAGTTTTATTTGGTTGACTTTGATCTTCGCAACAGAAGTACATCTGTCAGCGACAATCATTCTTAACCTCTCGCAGTGCCAGTAGGTCCATTCAAGTTACGTGATGAAAACCAGTTTGCTGAACTATGTAATATATGACATGTCGCTCAAATGTTGGTCTCTGCATTTTTGATGAATCCAGCCGTCTTTTGTAAATTGTCTACTGGCAAGTTTTTTAAAATTTTGTTTTGTTCTTTTTAAAACTGGTGGTCTCAGACAAGCTTATTACGCCTCTTCTCACCACTGGATAGCCATTGTTACGCGCGGCGCCTGGGCCGACGGGGGAGGGCCGCGTTCTTTGTTCATCAAACAAGTCACCGAAGGGCCGCCAGCCTGCTGTCCGCCGTGTACTGTCCATCTTAGCCGGGAAGTGAGGTGGCATTCCGACACCATAAGACGTTCGACGAGACGACCACAATGGTTTCTTGGTGTCACAGGTGCAGTGTGGTGGCCACGCCCCAATCAAAGACCTTGACTTGAGCGAGTGTGGGTGGCACCGTCAGAAATGGTGTGCGTGTCTCGTGATTCAACAGCGCATTCTGGACCCATCCCCTGATTGAGTCAAAACGTACACTTTATAGTGAGCCACCCAGCTCATTCGCAAGAGACCTCTCGCCCTGTCTGTACAGAATGTAATAAATCCTCTGTTAAGTTTGCCGTCTTACTCCTGAGTGCACATGCGTTTTCTTTTCTTTCTCTCTACACGCCCTTTCTTGCCCCTATTTCTCAACCCCCAGTGCTAGGCAGCAAACCAGATGCCAAGATATGGTTAATCCCCCAGCCTTCCTTTCTCTCTCTTGCCATCTTACTGCCTTGGCATCTTCATCCCGGGTATCTAATGTCTTAAAAGGCCGGTACAAACAGATAAGTTAAAGAATAAAACAGATGGTGAATATTTTTTGCAGCATGTTCAGACGCTGCATATAAGTGGTCATCCTCGAAAATTATCAACTTTAACACCGCGGACAGGTGCTGATATACCCTGAGTAGGTTCGAGCATGTATTATGCCTCGACGCTTTTAATCTTCATTAAACTTCTTCCTTTCGATTTCATCCTTCGGGGTTTTGTGTAGTCCTTCATCTAACGCCTAACCTCCCTGTCCTTCCTCATTTATTCCTCCTCCCTTAATCTAACGTGCTGCACTGCTACCACTTCATTTCTTCTTTATATACGCCCTGTTTCGGGCACAATTATAGGCTGCCATCTTGGACTGATAATGATGCCGTTTTCCATCCGTATGAATATTCGAATTGTGCTATAGCGAACTCGCACGCATCAAAACGCTGGGCCATTATAATCAACGTCGTATCACCATAATCATAGCTAATTACGACACAAAAAACAGCGAAAATTGCTTTTAAGCCTAAGATGGCAGTGTCTATGCTTTTCTGTAACTGTTACATTTATTTTTTGTCAATTTTCCTAATATGTCATTTCATGCAGCGGCCGCCGAACTCGTTCCGCTGTTCATGGAGGTACTCTCGGTCTCTGAAGCTGGATGAAGATAACTAAGAAGCCTGGTTTTTACTGGCTACATAAAATGTGAAACGAAGCTATAAATTAAGATGAAAAAAAAAAAAGACAAATCTGTGAAAAGTCAGTACTGGCGCATAAATGGCGGGCCGATTGCGCCGATGAAAAACGTCGGCGGCGGTGGCGGCGGCGCGCCGATCAGTTCGCGTCGGTGACGGCGACGCGGCAAAAAGTTTTGACGGCGGCGCGCCGACCAGTCGGCGCACACCTCTACATCTTGTTCACTCCACTGTACTCTTCTAGTACACTCTAGTATGGCCGTTCTCTGACGAGGTCCAGTGCAAGGTGTTCTGCGGCGAGGTTCTGTGGGATAAAGTGTTAAATAGGTACTAGCTTAAGTGGCCGTTCGTGGAGCTTGAGTTGCGCCCATTGTTAACCACAGACATGAGCGAGAGCAAGCCTAGTCCTCTGCGACAAGCTGAATCCGGTGCGTTCAACGCTCGACTTGGTTGTCTCTGTTAGATGGCGCGCCTTCAAAACGTCTATTGTGTGTCGCTCGCATTGTTTGACGTGTTGTCGGATCACTTTTACCTTCAGAATCTGCGGCCATGGATCGGGAATCGCGGGCGCCGCGGAGAAATTTGAGTCAACTGAGGGAAGATATCATTAACGGTATAGTTTCATTCTTGGAATAGCATGCTGCGAAGATTTTACTGCATACTTGATACAGTTTATTACTATTGTTTTTTTCTTTTACTTTCCGCAGCTAAAAAAGAACTCTGCGCTCTAAAAGCTCGTAGAAAGCGTGCTTAGGTAATGCTACATTTTAAAATTCTTTCATACTGTGCCCTGTTAGTCTTGTTCTGATCGAGGTGTTGTGTCTTTTAAAATTTCAGAAAAGCTTAGCGGGGTCCAAGCTGCTGCGAGCAGTGTGCGCGCTCAATGCGTTCAGTAAGTTTGCTGTACGTTTGGGAACGCGTCCACATCATAACAACATAATACACCAATGTCTGATTCTCACGTTGCAGGTTCGCAAAAGAGAATGACGAGATGACCGCGAAGATTTCAGAGCTCACCACGAAAATTTGCGAGGAAAAAATTTCGAGGCTAGAGAGATAGTGAGGTTTATCTTGCTTCCATTCTTCCGATTGGTACGGTAACGCGCAGTTTTTTTCTCTCCCATTTCAGTGCCAGCGCTACGCAGAACCATGGCCTCCTGCAGTACCTGAGTGGAGTTCGTGCAGCTTTGCGGAGAATTGATGGGGTGAGAAAGTGTAACCTTGTCTAACATAACTGAGCTGTATGCTTTTCTTTCTTGTTGCGAAAATGCTGAATTCACTTGTGACACTACCTTTTCTTTGTTCATGTTCACAGAATCCAGAAGAGATGGAAAGCTTGGAAGCAACATTAGAGCAGCGCTGTAGCATGTATTGGTAACTGTGCTGACCATTTTTATACATTTCTTGTGCAATGGGCAACATTCAAGATAGAGGAGGATGGGGGTGGATAAACAAAAAGAAATGTGTAACTTGACAGCAATTTAATTTGGAGCTTCATATTTTCAAATGCGGAATAAAAATGGAAGCATTGTCCCACTCTGGGAAGGTAGATGACCAGTGGAGCTAGTGAGCACAAAACACAGGTGATGGAAAATTTCGAACAGTCAATCACATACCTCACGACTAAATCCATTTAAAGTTTTTTCATTTGGGTAGCATGCATCGTTCTGTCACGACATACATTGTCTTGTCTGGCTTGCTGCATGCACTTGGCGTTTGTGTACAATTTTGAGGAGCTATTCGAGTAGCGTAGGTCTTTTTACCACGTTGACTTGTTTCTCCACATGCATTGTCTTGTGTGACTTGCTACGTATGCTTAGAATATTGTGCGCGATGGCATTTGCTGCCCGTGTGTTCCCTTCATTCTTGGTAGATTTCGGATTCAGCTACGAGGTGAATGATTGCATACGATTCAAAGTTCTGTGTCACCTGTATGTCATGTGCAAAACAGCTGTTCTGGTCACCTACCTTCAAAGTGGAATGGCTCTTCAATTTTATTACTGATAAAGGTTGAGAAGCCGAACAAATTAAGTTGCTGTAAATGTCCAACCGTACTCATTTTTCCACTAGTACTTTTTCTTTTATTTCCTGTGATTTTTGAGGAATAGCTTTTTCAAGTTGCTGATTTTGGTGTAAAGCCACACAAAACAGGCTATGGTATATCCACATTTGCATTTCCCAGATTAGACGTGTTTTGGTATAGTCATGAGCACAAGCAGTGCATTTCAGCTGGTGATAGCAGAAATTCAGTATACTGGCCATTCTCTGGTAACTAAGTTGAGATTTGCGATGTCTTAGATGTAATTTCACCATATTTCGTATATTGCAAGTTAGGTTTAATATATAACTACGCATCATGTACTGTTGTGCTCAGTAAGCATTGTGCTGAGTAGGCTTCAGTACACTGGCCATTCTCTGGTAACTAAGTTGAGATTTGCGATGTCTTGGATGTAATTGCACCATATTTCGTATACTGCAAGTTAGGTTTAATATATAACTATGCATCATGTACTGTTGTGCTCAGTAAGCATTGTGCTGAGTAGGCTTCAGTACACTGGTCATTCTGTGGTAAATAAGTTGAGATTTGCGATGTCTTGGATGTCATAATTGCATCATATTCTGTATACTGCAATGGGATTTAATATCTAACTGTACAGCATGTACTGTTGCGATCAGTATGCATTTTCAACATGGCAGCATGTGCTTGAACTACACTACATGTGTGTAGTACCTTGCAGCAATGTGGAAACAGCCAGGCCATAGAAAAGGTGAAAACCCCCTCGGGATGTGTTCATCCACATCGCGTTGTCTGCTCGTCATCTCTCTGGCCGGCATTAGCTCTCCTGCAGTGTCAGTACTTTCTCCAACACTCCTTTATGCGGAAGCCCTTTTGAAAAGGCCATCTCTCAGTTTCTTTGGTGTTCAGATTTCCGCTTGTAATTTTCACTTGTACAGGGTGTGTTTGCTAGCATTTGTGAGGAAGGCAGTTCTTTTTATAACAGCATTCATACTGCCGCTTTCAGAGTTTTTTTTTTTTTTTGTTGTTGACAGCACCAAATGAATTTCATGCTATTCACTTCGCTTCTTTAGTAAAATACTTGTTATTGATCTACAGTGTTTCAGAGATTATCAGTGCGCTTTTACTAGCCATAACATACTGTTCTTGAGAGGACTAGCAAATTGTTGGCACAGGAAACAGTATAGGCATTCAAGGCATTTGACATCAATCAATGCATCACTGATACTAGTGTTGTGGCTCCATATGCTCAGTTGGCATGAGACCACTTTTACTGTTTGGCACCACCATAGTAGCATGAAGGCAAACAAGGGATTTAAATAATAGCAAGGGTCCGCAGCTTTAGATGAGACTAAGCAATGGCGGATTATATTTCTTACTTCTTGCTGTTAGAGCAGACAACCCAGTAATAGGCACGCATTTAGTTGAAAATAAATGGTCAGGGCTGTATGGGGGCTGCTATATTTTTCGTTAAGAACAGCGCAAGAACATGACACGCCAAACGAAAAACATACAAGGAGGAACGCCGGACTAGGAACTTACCTATATTACCGTCGACTCGCAAATATATACAGGCGTGTGGTCACAAAAAAAAAAAAAAGGGTAATACATCACGCGAAGTTTTGTCATGCCTGCCTGCTCAAATACGATACCTCTTTTTGTTGCAGGGCGAGAGACACAACGCTAATACATGAGTTACTGTTAGAAATGTGCAGAGCCTCCATTATCTCTCGAGTTGTCTGTTTATTACTCCTGGCAATGATGCCAAATTTTTCAAATTGAGGAACGCACCTACACACATTGCAATGTGCACCGATATGTGAGAAAGCGTAGGTGCAACTATTGGCCTCATGTGCCCTCATTCTTAGATTGACACACCTATCAGTTTGTCATATGTATACAGCGCTGCAAGATAAAGGAAACTTGTACACCATCTCTGTGGCGGAATCAACAGCTTTGGACCACTGGTTGACGCCTCATCCTGCCGTCTTCTCATTTCTTTCCTTTACTTTTTTTTGACTACACGTGCACATATTGTTTGATGCTGGTCAGGCACTGAAAAAACTGCCTTCACACGAAATCAGCCCGCCATGTTTTTCAATCCATGTGACATATTATGCACATACGGTGTTACAGCTATTTTCTTGTTATTTTCCAGGTTTTCCAGGTGTGACCATATGCCTGTATGTATTTGTGAGTTGACGTGAAGAAAGATTAGTTGCGAGTCCAATGTCCGTCCTTTCGCTTTCTTTGTTTGTTTGTCTCGTGTTCCTACGCCGTTCTTAACTATGAACCCATACTTACTCGCGCAATTGTCACTGCGGCTGCTATATTGGTGTGCGTCATCACAGTTAAGGGGACCATTGTGGTTACCAGCAGGTAATCGCTACAATAATTGGGAAATGCGAAGTGCACTCACGGAAAGCCTTATGTACCACGTATTGCTGTAACGTGTCATGCAAAAAGCACTGCTGAAACACTTGTATCTTGTTGATAATGAAGGAGTTATGCTGTGTACCAGGGCCACTGACTTTCGAGTGAAATTCGCTAAACGAGTGAGAAGTCGCCAAAAACCATCGTATTTCGCCAGAAATGTCGCCAGTCTATATATGTGAGGCGTGCCTAGTAATAAATATTGCTGTTTATGTATAGCCCCGTGAAGAACAATACTGCCCATAACCCCTTGATTATATTGACATTCTTTAATGCCAGTTGCATCGCTCTCTTCATCATAATAGCACTTGGAAAGGGCACGCATGCACCATCAGCGCCTCTGAATGCTATTGCCTCATAAGGAAAGGTTGCGACTGTTTTAGTTGTAGTGAATCCAGGATGAAGCAGTCGCTACAAAAAGAGAGGAATAGCGTGCGTAGCCTTCCTGCAAATTTCGAGAATTTCATTGAGTGGAATCTGGTGCTTGATAATTGAACAACTTAATTACAAAACAAATGTAATAAATTCAAAACCTGTCCTAAACCGTCACAATGCACGCACCATGTTTTTTGTGCGCTCATGCTTACGCTAAACATTCACCTCAGTGCAGTTTCTGAAGGCTGTCCGAAAAAGGTGACTTCTTAGCCAGCCTGAAAAGAATGTTAATAAAAAATTGAAACGTTACATAAAAAATTATGGGGTACTACAGCAGGGAATAAGTCGACAATATATTTAGAACAGTTGGAGCTGTGGTTGGAACACGCGACTTAAACTCACCTAGCCATTCAGACGCCAAACTTTAAAAGCAATAAAGCGCTTGAAGCCTGTAAAGAACTTGGTACACACCACCACGTCGCGGCATGGGAAAAGTCCCTACATAAATAGTACTTGGAGGTTGCTGGTGGAAGCACCAGTGCGACCGTGCCTCCAGGAGCTTGGTCAATTGAGGAGTTACACACGAGAAACAAGACAGACGTACTGATTTACTCGTCAAGTGCACCTCCTATACCTGTGAGTCTAAAACTACAAGAAATAGAGGAAATGTTGTGTCTCATTTGTTTTGAAGATGCTGAGAATAGAAAAAATAACTCAGTTGAGACCTAAGGCGAAAATTGCCGAAAAATCGCCATGCCGCCAATTCTGATTAGGTTGCCACGTTCCTCTCGAATTCGCCAATCTAGTGAAAATTATCCACCAGTGGCAACCCTGCTCAGTACTATGTTTCATGCTTTGCAAGGATATTGCCTCTGGGCTCCTTGTAGCTTCAACAGTGCTGCGAGGTAGTTGTTGGATGGAGTATTGGTCCTAGATTGTGCACCATTGTGCATGGTGCTCAGTTGCCCTCATTTTCATGATAATTCTGTCCGAAATTGGAGCTTGTTAGCCATTATCTCCACTGTAGCAAGTTGCACCGAGTTTGATGGTACTTATGTCTCATGTGATGCTCAGTTTTATGGCCATGAGCTAGTGTATGCAATGAGAGAAGTAGCTTGTAGCTGATCTTGTTGTGTGAGAAATGGAGAAAAGAAGGAGTAAGACAAGTATTTACAGACTCTGCTGGCCAGTTAGTTGCCCTCGATAACTTGCTGTCTTGCTTACGTAGCTGGTGAATGTTTTCAGATTCCAGATCAATACTGCATGTTAAAAAGTGATGAAAAGTGCGCCTAAAGGAAACTGTGGATTAAGTGTTGCGTATGACAAAATTAAACAGGGGTCTTCCTTGAGCAACTGCTTATGGGCCGTTTAGCTCTCTCCTTCCATGGTACTATTGGCACGGTGATGTTGAAGGGACTGATAGCCTTAGTAATGCGTTAAAAAAGGCAGGATGTGAGATAGCATCCCCTCCAGCGGCGATGGCTAAGTCTGTGTACGCAACTGGTTTTTTTTTTTGCAAGTTGTGTCAACTTGTGACCAAAAGAGAGCAACATACATTGCTCATTGAATGAACTGAACCTTTTGCACAGTGTGTCTCGACTTGACTTCAGTGCACTGTGTCTCACTGTAATCAACTGCTTTGGTGAAGGTGCTGCGATGTTTGATGGGTCATTGAACGTGCTAAGTTTCAAAACTGAAGTCATAAGTACTTTTTTTTTCCGCAATGAGTGTAACCAAAAACTACTTGCACACACATTTGGAACCTATGGTTTCATTCTTGTCAATATGGAATGTGACTGACTCACAAAAAATAAACAATTATATAATAATTTTAAATAATGGCTGAAACTCGCACAGGACAATACATTGCTTTGTTTTCTTTCTTGAAATGTAATATTGAGTGCCTTGGAATAATGCTACAATTCGACGTATTCTTAAACAGTGCATTCACGCCTGAAGGGAATATTCATTGTTGAAGACAAGTGGCTTTTTAGGTGATGTGAAATTGGGCATATTTTAGGCCTTTTGAAGGTTTTTGTCTGAGTGATGATGCAGAATCATTCTACGTATTGTTACCTTAATGTGTTGCACGTCTTAGGACAGTTCGGGTGTGTACAGTCATATTGCTCTTTGTTTTATCTCTGCAGTGACAGAGCTGGATGCGAGTTTCCAAAGCAAGAAGGCCAAGCTGGACCAGGGACAGAGCGCCAAAACTGAAGATGTCACATTCAGAGCTGAGGAACACCAAGTACTGCTGTGAGTGATGTTCGGTGTCATAATGGCCTATAATGAGCACAGGTTTCGCTGCCTCATGGCTCTCTTTAAAAACTTCTTGAAATGAGAACCAAAGGCAAATATAATTTGAAGGAGTCATTAACCACCCTTCCAGCTTAGTGGGGAAACAAATTTTGCGGATAGCAGACAGTGCTACGAATAGGTCAAGTTTCACGATGATGCACTCAAGTCATGACGCCTTTCCCCTGTGTCATCCCTCCCTTGGTAGCTTCCTGGACACTCGTCGGAATGAGAAGAGAGCACTCAAAGGGTGCAACAAGTCCTCTTAACTCTACCCATTTTTCACGGATTCAAGAAATTTTCGTAGCAGTGTATTGGCGAAGCAGTATACTCCAATACTGAGTTCATTTGATGATTACCTGGACAAGTAGCTCGTGATTCCTTTAAAGGGGCCCTTCTACATGTATCAAGTAACCGTTGTAACGCTTTATTAAAGAAGTTCATTGCCCAACTAGTTTTACTGCTGCAAAAATTTTTAGAATCCGTTGTGTACGGGCGTAGTCGCAGAGATTTGTCGCACGCTGCAATACCTCTTTTTCTTTCCACGTTCCGACAAGTGTGCCAGAGGCTAAATGAAAAAAGGTGGCGCGAAGGAAGGAAGGTACGTCGCGCACGTTTTTTCTTTCCTTCCTTTTTTTTTTCTGCGAACACGCGACACTTACTGCAATTGCAAGTGCGGGCATGGCCACATGGCAGCCTCCTCCGGCGGCCTCAAGAACTACGCATCTCGCGATGCTCAAATCATCCTATGGCCATGAGTTTGGGCATATGGCGTCATTTGTAGAAAGAAGGAGGGAGGGATTTCTAGCTGACTTTGAAAATTGAATAGCTATTTCGGGTGGTGTGAGCATTCTACTTGTTTGGCTCGCGCATTCTCAAGAGCTACAACTACCAATTTACAGTGTTGTCTGACCATCCTTGAAAAATGTTGCAGGGCCTTTTTAATAGTGACGGATGAATATTTGAGACCGCTCAAAATGCCAATATGCATTCGCATCAGCACTACTTTATTGATTCAGGTAAAAAAAAAAAAAACTAAATGTAGAATAGGAGCGGTGCCTCCAGCAGCATGTACAGTCGTCGACCGTTTATTCGGACATATTCATGGCACCGCCACACTTCCCATTGATCCTAATGTAAACTAACGACCGAAAATTCGGACGCCCCACTGTGCGCCATTTGATTATTCGGACTCCGTTTGACTGACCTGATGCGTCGCAGTACACCATTACACGCTGAGAGCGACGTTAACAATATGTTTGCTAGGTTGCCAGCACTGATATGCTGCACTAGCTATGGATGAATGTAATGATTGATTTGTGGGGTTTAACGTCCAAAAACCACCATATGATTATGAGAGACGCCGTAGTGGAGGGCTCCGGAAATTTCGACCACCTGGTGTTCTTTAACGTGCACCCAAATCTGAGCACACGGGCCTACGACATTTCCGCCTCCATCGGAAATGCAGCCGCCGCAGCCGGGATTCGAAGCCGCGACCTGCGGGTCAGCAGCCGAGTACCTTAGCCACTAGACCACTGCGGCGGGGCTTGCCAAGCTCGATTTACACTGTGGTTATTTTGTCGGGCACTGCCAGCATACCAGTTATCAGAAGGTACTTTTCAATGCAAAATTTCTCGTATGATGTTTCTTGCATGTGGTATGCATTTCACACTGTGCATTGATCACTGTACTGCCCATGTACCTTCTGGCCAGGTCCTGATGCATTTTCTCAGGCGTTTCTTTTTCATGCGTCGCTAGCGATGCAGTGCCAACAATATTGCATTTTCATTAATTTTTGAATTTGGTGCTATTTTTTCATCTTGTAATCTTCAAAATGTCCTATAATGCAGTGCTGTCTTCAAAACTATCATGAAAAAAGGCCGTTAAGGTATCGTTAATAAATTCATGAAGGCAATTTATATTGTTTTTAGTTTTTTCTTTCCCTCCTGCAGGTGATTCTCATGAATGCAACTGTCACTGAAAAGTTTTCCGATTACTTCGACGATGCCCCCATCATCAGGATTTCAGGAAGAATGCATCCGATCAACCAGGTCTTTCTGGAAGACCTCCTTGCAGGGAAAATCATTACCAAAGCTTCATCAGAAAAGGTATGGCGCAGCGCATACAGTTGGGTGGACGTTCTGTTTTCATGCAAAACGTTCATGAACGGGCCTTTTTCGTAATTTGCCAGTGCACTTCTCTTCACTGCTTATTTGGACAAGTAATGGCTGCACCTGTCGTGCTCCAAGCGGAGGCGTGGTCCTAGTTCAATGTGCTGGGGCTTGTCTATTATGAGTGCTTAGAATATCAAGAGAGGCGACTGAACATTTTTTCACATCATTGCGTAGGCAAAGCTAAAACATCCTGCAAGCAACACCGTGAGTGACTGTAAGTGCTAAACTTCTTCGAATCATTAAAATGGTGCTGTCTCTTCATCACTTCTTCCTTCTCTAGGGTGGTGTATCGTCGAACATCATTGTTGAATAGTAAAGTGTACCAGAAAAAAATTGCATGATCCCTGGAAAGCAGATATTCTTGCGTGTAGCACTAGTAAAAAGTTTTCTATGAAATATATGTATACTTCCCTGCAGAGGTATGTAGGCTGAGGTGTTTTCTTTATTTTGTGGGTAAATCTGATAAAACTAAGTGGAGTTCTTTAGTTTTTGGCTGATTTCAATTACACTATATGCATGAATTCATCTTTGAGGTCAACTACCATACTTCAGGTAGTAGACAAAGCTGTCTCTCTGTTATTTAGGCACACTTTAGGAAAAGTTTTCAGCACAACGTGAATATTATTAGATACTATAATGTACATCAAAAACACATACATTATGTTATCAGTGATGAACGTTTTATACATGTGTTGTTGCCTTTCGGGACTTGTCGGCATTATACTCTAACTGTTGGTGCTTTTGGTATGTCCCCTCCAGAGCCGTAACAACCCGGTCAAAATTGTGCCCGACGTTTTGGTGTACCTCATGGAGATAAGCCCAGCTGGAACGAGATCAATGTGCACGCTTGCGAAGCAAGCGAGCGCCGGCCAAGTTTCACGAATGAATTTCACCCCTGCACTCCCGTCTCGATTACCAAGGGCAGTAAAAGATCTTTGCAAGTCCTCCACCGGGTTGGTTTTGTCGATTAGTTCTGCCATGGGCATTAGATGGTTTGACATGGGTGTCAGATGTGCATGACGCTGTACACCAGATGAGCTATATGTGACTACAAATGCTGTGATGGCATGTTTTGAATTCTGGATTGGCTGTTATGCCTAGGACATGTAGGTGCCGCTATCTTGGGCTGATAAATTGATGTTTTCTTGTTTTCGTAGACTGTGATGTCAATAAGGCTTGAAAACGTTGTATGCAACAACTCAACTGTTTTCATGTGTGTGTGTCTATCATAACACTTTTAGTTAAGTTGCGAAAGATATAAAACACAAAGTTTAATAGACCTACATGGCGACACTGAAACCCCTTTCTAAAATAGTCTGTGCAGGATGCTTGAACAGTCATGAAATTTTTACTTTAAGAATGGAAACTTGAACGTTCTGCCAAATTTTGCAGCCAATTTCAATTACGTCATAGATATTTCAGCCATAAAACAGCAAACCTATGTTTTCTAATAAGTCTAACTTCTGTTCAGCAGGGCATAAAGGTAATGTGGACTTTTGGTTGCACAGCTCTCTTTGCAGAAGTAGGCCAGATTAGTGTTGGCTTTGTTGGCAAAGCTCGTACTGAATTATCGTGTTGTCATCGAGAACAGGTTGTTGCTGAGTATTGTCACAAGATGTTGCCGAGCACACAACTGAACTGCATAACAAACACTCGTAGTGAATTAGTTGTTACAACGAACTAAATAGGAACTTCAGTTGCTTACACCTCATGTCTGTATTAATTTTGCAAGGAAACCGAAAACGTGAGCGCCACCGCGCTTTTGCCGTAAACGGAAGAAATATTTGGCCTGCTCATGGCTCGTAATCTAAAACATAGCATAAAAAGCAAAATAAGTATGGAAAGGCAATTTATTAACATGTTTTTTTTATGTGGCTGTGACGTTCAAACTTCACTTATAGTAGCACTTATCTTAATGTGAACACACCGCTGTTTTCTCAAAAGAACTTTGTTCTGTTGCGATTTTCAACTTATCATAATTTAGTTTGTGTCGTGTGAGATGCTGCTATGATAACGAGGATAAGCTCTTTGGGTGTGAAGCCTAGAATTATTTGTCCTAAGTGCGTAACACTTTAAAAGGGCCCCGTTTGTTGTCCATCCACTGCCATACGTTGCATGGTCTTGCAGTCGTCAACACAAGTCTAACACAAGGCCACCATTGCTTAAAGGGACACTAACGAGCAAAATGGTTTTTCAAGTATTAGTACTCTTACTGTGTCTTGATGCTTATAGTAAGTGAGAAAAGGCGCGGGACCGTCGAGTCGACCGTTACGTCTGCTTCGAATAAACCCCTCGTAGACGTAACAGAGTGGTGGAGATGCCGGGGTAAGACACGTCGACGTACCACGGAGCCACAGCTGTTCGGAGTTCGCCGGAGCCGTCGTCTTGCCGGTCTGCCGCCGACAACAGTCGTCATGGCCCAGAGCGAAGGTCAGGAATCAACCGCATCGACTTCGCGCCAATCCACACTGGCTACACCTAGGCATCTACATGGAACCCCGCCCGTTCGCGGGAATGGCAGGAGAAGATGTGGACGCGTGGCTAACGCACTGCAAAAGGGTGAGCCGGTACAACCACTGGAACTCTATCGATCAGCTAGAAAACGTCGCGCTGTTTCTCACGGACACTGCACTCATGTGGTATGAAAACCACGAAGAGTCCTTGACAACATGGGCTCTTTTTGCTCAAGAACTCAAGAAGTGTTTTGGTGACTCCGACTCAAAAAAGAAAAGCGCGGAGCGGACTCTTGCTGGAAGAGCCCAGACTCCTGGAGAAACCTGCACTGCTTATATAAAGGACGTCCTTAAGCTTTGCAAGATTATAAACCCGCAGATGTCTGAAGAAGACAGGGTTGGACACCTATTGAAAGGCATAGCGGAAGACGTTTACAATTTTCTGATAGGCAGAGATGACCTCACCTCTGCCTCCGACGTCCAACATCACTGCCGCACGTTTGAAAAATTGAAGACTCGTCGCATCGCCCCAAAATTTGGTAGGCTGGCAAATGTGACAACGGTTGCCAGCGTCGACGTGAGCCCGCCCACCGACCTTGCGGCTACTATTCGGGCAATTGTGCGTGAAGAACTGCAGCGACAAGGTGGTAGGGTTGACGAAACCATTCCTCATCCACCTACCAATCCACGCTACTACACGGCGGCACCATCAGCTCCTTTGCCACCATCGGTATGTGTGGCAGACATCAGCGAAACTGGAAATCCGAGGCCACGTTGTGACTCATTCGCGGCCGACCAGCGATATGGCCAACGCCTTCATCACGGCCCCGCCACACAGAGGTGGGCAGCCCCCGCTCAGCAAGCTCGTCACCGACCCTTCACAGCTGAGCGGTCTCAGCATTGGTTCAGCGAGCGTCCTCTACCAGTCTGCTACAACTGTGGCTTCGAAGAACACATTGCCAGGTATTGCAACTACCGGCAGCCGCCAAGGTACGACCGATCACCGAGATTTAACCGTTCTGGCGTTACCCGAGCACCGACATTCCCGGGAAGGATGTCTTACGAGATCCCAGGACCGCTACGAAACCAATCTCCGGCCTCTGACCGCAGTCTGACACTACCACCTGCCCCTCGCGCCAACCGATCACCGTCTCCTCGGCGCCGCCACTCCTCGCCTCCTACGGAAAACTAGCCGGCGCGGCCGTTGGAGGTGAGGTCGCCGGACAGTCTTCGATTTCAACAGATATACCTCCGTTAGCTTCCATGTTTAGAAATAAGGTTCGAGTGCTTATCGATGGTGTACCGACGATGGCGTTGGTGGACACAGTGCAAGCGTGTCAGTGATGAGTTTAGTTTTCACCCGCCTTCTCGGACGAAAGGTTATGTTTCGTTGGGACCGTCCTGATACGTTTCGTGGAGTGAGCGGAGAGGTGTTTACAACCTGTTGGTGGTCTGCACTGTGACTGTTAGTTTGGCATGCCAGAACTTTGTCGCAGAGTTTGCTGTTCTCCCTCATACTACGCATGACGTCATTCTGGGACTCGATTTCTTGAAGCTATGTGGTGCTACTGTTGATTGCTGCACAGGACAAATTACAGTAGATTCTGATATCCCAGTTTCGTTTATGGAAACCGCCCTCTCAAGAAAGTGCTCTTTGCGTGTCTGTGGACACAACTGTGCGCCGTTGTCTACAAAATGGTCCCTGTTGCCTGTTCACCTGCAAGCGAGAAAACATTTGACGCAACTGTGGAGCCCGTGCATCTCAGTTGCATAAGAAGACAGTTTTAATACCCTACTGTACATTATCGGTTTGTGCAAGGGCATACTGGTTTATGGGCGATTAACTGCTCTAATGAAACTTACAGTGCTGCCGAAGGGTCTGAAACTTGCAGAGATTCGTGAACACCAAGTCTTCTCGCTTGCCATTCTCGCAGAAAGCAACGATTCCCCGGATAAGACCCGTTGCAATAATCTGCACGCCAGGGACACCACCATTATGGCTATGATTGATAAGTCACTCAGCACCAAGGAACGTAATGAAACTGGCGAGTATTCTGCGCAAACAGGCCGGTATTTTTGATTTCGCTCAGCATGATTCACCGTCATTCCCTGCTTCTCGTATAAAGCATCGAATCGACACGACATCTCACAGACCTCTCCGACAGAAACCATATCGTGTATCGCCTTCGGAACGCGCAGTGATCAACGAACAGGCTTGCGAGATGCTCAAGCAAAATGTAATTCAAGAATCATGTAGTCCGTGGGCCGCTCCAGTAATTCTAGTGAAGAAGAAGGATGGGACATGGCGATTTTGTGTTGACTACCGCCGTCTCAACGCCATCACTAAAAAAGACGTATACCCACTCCCGCGGATTGATGATGCTATCGACTGTCTATCATCGGCCTCTTTTCGTCTGTGGATCTGAGGTCAGGCTACTGGCAGATTCCAATGCACGAGGAAGACAAGGAGAAAACGGCATTTGTTACAACAGATGGACTATTTGAATTCAATGTGATGCCGTTCAGACTCTGCAACGCGCCCGCAACTTTTGAGCGATTCATGGACAACATTCTGCGTGGATTGAAGTGGGAAGTGTGTATGTGTTACTTGGACGGCGTTGTAATTTTTGGGCGCACTTTTTGTGAGCACAACACACGCCTTGACCTCGTACTGGACTGCCTAAGCAAAGCACGCTTGGTGCTCAACTCAAAGAAATGTCGTTTTGGAGAGCACCAAACACTTGTCTTTGGACACTTAGTAAACAAAGAAGGCATACGACCGGATCCCGCCAAGACGGCCGCAGTGGAGGCATTTAAGCAGCCAAGCTCGGTGAAAGAACTGCGCAGCTTTTTGGGGCTTTGTTCATACTTTCGCCGATTCATTCCTGGCTTTGCCAATATCGCATACCCGCTCACGTGTCTGCTTCAGAAAGGGGCGCAGTTTGACTGACCCCGGAATGCGAGTCTGCTTTTTCGGAGTTGAAGTTTATTTTGACGTCCCATCCGATTCTTCGACACTTCAATCCTCTCGCTCCCACTGAGATTCACACAGACGCCAGTGGTATTGGTGTAGGTGCTGTCCTGGTTCAACGCTTGGATAATCAAGAACACGTCGTAGCATATGCAAGTCGCTCGCGTCCGCAAGTCCGAGCGTAACTACACTGTCACAGAGCAAGAATGCCTTGCAGTAGTCTTCGCAGTGCAAGCGCTTCCGGTCCTACCTGTACGGACGCCCCTTTACCGTCGTGACAGACCATCATTCTCTCTGCTGGTTGGTCAACCTGCGTGACCCATCTGGTCGGCTGGCGCGCTGGGCACTTCGTCTACAAGAATATGACTTCACGGTTTTCCTATAAGAGCGGCCGACGTCACGCTGACGCAGATTGTCTTCGCGACTGCCGCGTCCAACGATTGAATGTGACGCGGACACCTTCGATACCTACATTGTATCACTCGACCACCCATTTCCCGATAACAAGACCTTTAAGGATGAGCAACAA